AACTCTAAGTTTCTTCACAGACAAGACACAAGAAATAATTACAGTAAGAGTGGTAGAGACCTCTCCCTGGCTCAGAGGCAGAGATATTGCACATTTAGGACACCAGCAGTACAAAGTGGTGTAGGATTTCTAAGGAGGATGGATCACATCAGAATGGGAGATCAAGAAAAGAGAGCTTTGTGGAAGAGGTTTCATTTGGGGAATGCATTGTCAAATTGGACTGATGCAAAGTTGAGATCTTGCAGAGAAGGTGCAGTGAAAATAGGTTAGGATGTTGAGGGTTCTTGGTATAAAGTAGTAAAATGATGGCTCTTGGAAACAACCTGTATAAGGAAAAAACTTAAGTCAGGAGAGGACAGAAAATGGAGTGATTTTTTTTTTTTTTAATGGGACATAGTCTCATAAGTGGAGCACTGATTTTGTCTAGATAAAGCCCAGATTCTCTGCCCTAATATGGTGATAGGAACACGGAACTCAACGGTGAAATAGAAAGTAAGAGGTTTTAAATAGGACAGTATTACTTGAGGCTGGGATGCCACCACTGCAGAACTGTTCTAGAAAAAGGATTGTCTTGGATGTCACTTAGATAAGAGTACATGGCATAGGTGGGTTTTCCCCCAAATGATTTGACAGTTGTTAACAGTGACCTACACGGGTGTGGGCTGTTTCTGTGTCATCATGTATATTTTCAAACAAAAAGGAAAACTGAAAGTCCTGGACTCTATATACCCATCTTCAATTGCTAATCTTGGGCTGTATTTTACTGGTTGTGTGTGTGTGTGTGTGTGTGTGTGTATGTGTATTTCTAAACTTTTGAAATTTATTATAGGCAACATACTTCCTCCCTAAAGACTTCAGCACATGTTATCTCAAAATAAGGGCATCCTTCAAATAAACCCATTATCACAACAAAAAGTTAACAGTAATTCTTTAATATCCTCTTACAATATCCAGCCATATTCATATTTTCTAAAATATCCTAGGATGCCTTACAGTTTTGAAAAACCAGGCTCCAGTTAATCACATATTGTATTTGATTTTCTGCCTTAGTTTTAAGAAATCTAGAGCTGTTCTCCCATTTTTTTTTTCTTACCCCATCATTCATGGACTTTTTGAAGAGGCCAGTCCAGTTGTCTTAGACTAGACTGTCCTTCATTCCACATTTGCCTTACCCTCTTTTGAGAACCACTGTTCCATCTTATATTCAGTGACTTTAATTATATGTATATTAGATCTTCTTTGCCTGATTATTAAATTACTTCTCTGATTTTTCTTTTGACCTTTTTGGTTCATTTCTTGGCTCTTTCAATTTGTTTTCCATGTTCCTTATTTTTGTTTTCTTCTTCATATTTTGTCTTCACTTCTGAGATGTTTTTCTTCCATTTTTTTTCCCCCAATTTCAGTCAGCAAAGATTTCAGTTTGTTTAGTTTGTCCAGTTCTGAGATTCTAAATTTTTTTAAAGATTTTATTTATTTATTAATGAGAGACACACAGAGCGGCAGAGACACAGGTAGAAGGAGAAGTGGGCTTCATGCAGGGAGCCAGAGGCGGGACTCAATCCTGGGTCTCCAGGATCACTTCTTGGGCCGAAGGCGGTACTAACCTGCTAAGCCACCTGGGCTGCCCAGTTTCTAAATTTCTAATTTGGATTTCTCTGGTGTCTGTAGTTACTTACATTTAATTCATATTAGTATATTGTGTTAATGTTTTTTGTTTTGAACATTTTTTATCTGAAATTTTCTCATTTTCAGTTTTCTCTTACAGTGACTTTTAATATTTTCTGGAGGTGTGATTGTGTATGTGTGCGTGTTGTTACCAGTGGTACCAAGGAATCAAATGGGAGGTTAAGGGTTTGGATGTGTTCAAGAATAACCTCTATAAAGTAGTTTTTGTGAAATGATCTTTCAGTAATAAAGCTATCTTCTGATATTTCATAGTGCTTTAAAAGAGGCTTTTTTTTTTTTTTTGCTTTGAAATCATAGATTCATAGGAAGTTCGGGGGGGGGGGGGAAGGTAGAAATCATTTTTCAAAAGGTAGAGGTCCTGGATGTCTACAGTACAGTATCAAAACCAGGTAACTGGTATGGGCCATAGATCTTATTCAGATTTTAATTCTAAATGCTCTCTCTCATTTATGTGTGTTCTATGTAATTTTGTCACATGCAGTTTTTTGTTTTTTTTTTTTAAGATTTTGAGAGAAATGGCACAAGCCAGGGGGAGTGGGGAGGGAGGAGAACCAGACTCCTGGCTGAGCAGGGGGTCTGATGTGCGGCTCCGTCCCAGGACTCCAGGGTCAGGACTTGAGCTGAAGGCAGACTTGACTGAGCCACCCGGGTGCCCCACCTGCAGGTTTCTTTTTTAACTGCCGCTACACTCAAGACAACCATTCCACCAACTGCTCAAACTCCCTGGTCAGTGCTATCCCTGCAGGGTCACACTCTTCCACTCGCCCTCTCTACCACCGTCCCTAGTCCTGGCGTCTGCTCTAGAATGTTATGTAAATGGAAGAGAATATGTAGCCTTTTGAGAACTGGCCTTTTCGTTGGAACAGAATTCCTTTCAGACCCTCTGAATCTCATCAGTAGTTGAGTGGTCTGTACTCCTGACACTATTGCCCTGCGTTCGTGTACCGTTTACTTAACCATTCACTGAAGGGCATTTAGGCTGTTTCCAGTCTTTGATTCCTGTGAACATCAGGTACAAGTTTTACCAACACCTAGGAGTGCAGTTGCCGGGTCCTAATTTTTGGGGCTATTACCTTCCCTTTTTTCCCCTTAAACTAAGGAATAGGTCCCCTCTCCACGACGTACATTCCTAAGATTCTGAGGGTGTGTACTTTGATTCTTGGCATCTCCTCATTCACAGGGAGACCTACTGCTTCTGGGAACGAACCCTAAGGGCCCCATTATTCTCCTTCCTGTGCAGTCCCGTTTAACTGGTGTGTGTTGCGGATGTGACTGCTAGTTTGAGACGCTTACCCCCCCTCGCATGTGAACCGAGTTTATAGCATTCTCTCTTCTAAACATATTACAGACATGGGCTATGGGTGACGGGTGAAGCACCTCACCTTGTGAACAAGTTCCCTTTTCAGGATTGAGAATAAATCTGGATTTGGAAAGTGGCTACTCTAGAAAATCCGAAAGCTTTCCGTTAACTTCTTAGGAAAGTTTTCCCAACCGAATGGTTAAATCATAGCCTGTGAACTAGCTTATGTGGCCTTCATAAAAATGAAGATATTTTCTTATCTGTAAAATAAGCATCATTACAACAGAGGGCAAACCCCAATCTTACAGAGTTGTAAGGATGAAAGAATGCACAGAGGACTTACAGTAAATACTTCTTCTAAATGCTATTATCTGTGTTCTTAGTTGAGATTTGGGGGAGAGAATTTGGAATTCAGGAGATGCCACTTTTTGAGTCGTACGTTTTTGCTACTATATTGCTATTATATTATTTGAGGAATATTCTTTGATTTCCTGTGGTGTTCACCATACAACCTATTTTGGACCGTGTGTGCCTGGGCATTATTGGGAAGAAAAACTAGGAGGAGTGGATTACTCTGGCAAGGGCCATGGGATTATTTTAACAAATGCCCTGGTCTGACCCATTGCACTGCTCAGAACAGTGAACTGTGTTGTCCTAGGAGTGAGGAATATACACTCGGTACAAAGGAGCTTCAAAAAGTAGAAGGCTCCTGATAAGGTCTGGGTTTTCCCCTGGAGACAGACCAATTCCCCATTTTTACCTCATCTGGCTCTTTAAATTCAGAGATTGAGAAAACTGGGGAGTGTTTTTAAGACAACCTTTGTCCTCTCATCTACATGTTTCAGTGAGGAGACTTCGGACTTCTGCAGTATCCGCAGGGTGCAGCAAACCTCCAGACTCAAGTCTAACAGGCTTACGGAGGCGGCGGTAAGAAGGAACCGCAACTGGCCAGCAAGTCCCCGTGAGGACTCCTCACACAGCAGCAGTCTGTAGCGGAGCGTGCACCCAGCTCCCAGCTCAGGGACCTCATAAGGGACATCAGTTATGGGTTTCCTCTGGGAAATCCAAAGGCACGGTTTATTATCCAGAGTCTGGAGAGTTCCCAGTCCAGGGTCATTTTTAACGGAAGCAGTGTTGCTAAACGGTATTTTGACCCTTATCACTAGTTTTCACCCCTATCAGCCCATCTAGTTTTAAAGACAGCAGGCAGGTGATGAACGAGGAGGCGTGGTAAAAGGTTTCCTCAACTCTGCTTTAAACTGCCCAGGAAGCACTCAAAAGCCACGTATAGCTGCTTTCCTGGGAAGACAGACAACTGGTCTGACTGAGCCTGTGTTGTGCCTGTGACCCATTCGCTGGGCTTCCTTTGGTGGTGGTGGCCGTGGGGAGTTGGGTGTCGCTGAAATGAAGGAACAATAAGAGTCTGTTTCCGAGCCTCATTCTCTTGCCTGTGTCTTCGTTTCAGACACAGTGAGCCTGTCTAGCCCAGCACAGGACAAGGATGGGAAAAGCGAGAAGGTGAGAGGTGGCCCACATTTTGGTTTCTCTCATAGCCACTGAATATACGAATCAAGACAATAGACCCTGCCTGGAGGCCTGGATTCTGTCCTTGGGGTGGAAAGGTAGAGGCCCTGGGCTCTTCTGAACAGGCTTCCTCAGGAAGCTGCCTTGGTCTGTGTGGGCTGTGCGTGGCCTCCACGGGCGAACAGCAAGTTCTTACCTGAAGTGAGGAGAGGGGACCAGCAGCCCGAGAGCCTCCCGTCTTCAGGCAGGTCTGCTAAGTGGCATTCTCACACTGTCCCTGCCACTGAATGGTGTTCATCAACAACCTCGGTCATGTCATGGCAAAATGCATTGAGTAGTGGTGCTTTCTACGGTGTAACTTAAGTAGCCTTTTTGAAGGCTGGTCACCTCTATCACATGATGTCATATACGTTAGTATTTGTTTTTAATCCTTTATGCTTCAAAATAGCCCAGTGTCAGATTAGGATTTGGGAAAAGAGTCTATTCAACATAGTGGATCACTGCCTTTATTTCATCTTTACTACGAACTTTGAATAGAAGTGCAGAACACAATCTAATATGTAGAAAAATAAAATTTTGGCAAAACAAAAACTGTTTAGGGAAATTGTATACTAGTATTTTCCACATGTACTTAGTCAAATATGTTACAGAAAACATTTTAAGATGTCTGTTCATGGTTATAAAAATTTTTTTAACTTACCGAAATTTACACTGCATATTGAAATGATATAAATGGAAATTTAAATTTTTGTTATTAACAAGGAAGCCCAATTTGCTAAAATAGCATTAATAACATTCACACCAGATTTTAATTTGTTATATATCTTTGTAATTCAGCAAATGCCCTTGATAATGAAAAATTAAAAAGTTATTAGGACAAAAATAATGATCTATGTAAAAAGGGGGCTGGGACCAAGAGATCTTTTAATATGCTTGTATAATTCAGATCATAAACTTTTCATGAATTTAAGAGGAATGAAGATATATGAACACTAATAGAAAATAAATTTGAGTGTTCAAATGCTTATACAACTCCTCAGTCCATCTGGTTTTATAAAACCAAAACTCAACGCAAAAGCGAAAATGTTCATTCATATTACCTTATTATATGTTCCTAAGTATCAAACTGCGTCAATTTATTCTGAATTAAAGAACATCACAGACTTAAAAGTACATGAGTACCTGATTTTTTGACTCCACAAATACCTAGCATCCCAAAGTAACATGTAAACAAGCCTCTTTGCTGCTTCATGAATTCTTTGCAATCTCTAGAATGAACTAAATGGCATTGGATCTAGTGTACGACTTACATGTGCTTTATGGTTTCATTCATTACTTTGTTAGTGATGTAGCAAAGAGGGAAAATTTTCAACTATTGTATTTATTTAAAACAAATGGACAGGTCCAAATGCCTGTCTTCAGAAAAGCCAGCAGCATTTTTTTTTTTTTAACATACTCAAAGTAAGATGTGGCCTAAGCCCTTAATACCTTCCTGAACAGCCATGCAAAGTAAACACCCGCAGGAGGTGTTACATAAGGGAGAAGGTCATGAAGCAATTTGTACTTTGTCCTCTGGATAATAGAAACAAGGTAAAGCAAATCCAGATTATTTCTGAATGAACGGCTGTCCTGCTTAATATACTCGGAGCTCTATAAAACTAGAGCCACAATCATATATGCTTATATAGATATATACTTATTTTTAATAAAGTCTCTTGCTTGCTTCAAAATTTAAGGATGGTCTTTTTCCTGGTCAGTCACTTCAAGGGAACAATAAATAAAGTAGAAAAGGATGGACTGTTTTGCATATTTCTGTGGAAGAACGGAAAACATTTATACTTTGAGAGGTTCAGAAAATTCACTGTACAGAATGAACAGATTATATACACTATCTGTGCAATTTTTCTTGGCTGGGGTATTTAAATGCAAGAGCTCCTCCAAGACAAGAAGCCACATTCATTCTTGTCCAAATCCCTCTGTCTCTTCTATTGCAAAAAGAAGTTTTTCCTTTAGTTGTTCATAACTCTTATATGGTGGTAGATCCAAGCGATTAAAACTGAACAAAAACAAAAACAGATGTGTTTTCAATAAAACAGACTAAAAATTTCTAATACAATAATTCTTAAAGCACATTTGCAAAACTAAATGGATAGTGGAAGTTACAAAGATTTTGCCAGAAGTATTCTAACCATTCACTACTCTATTACCATATACAGACTTCTTATGGCGAGCTACTGAAATGAAAACATTCATAAAAGTATACTTTTTTTTGACATTTCCCAGAGAAAGTTGTAATTATTAGTTATCACAACTCCCCATAACTTCTGGGTTTTTAAGATTCTTTCATTTCTTTCATTCACTTACCAGTTATTAAGAATCTATTAGATGTATTTCCAGGAGCTGGTGATGCAGAGTGATAAACTACAGTCCCTAATCCTCAGGAGTTTACTTACATTTTGGGGTGGAGAGAGCCAATAAATACACACTTTTTGTCTTTCCATTCCTGCCAGACTCCAAGGAATTCTCTGTGCTGCAGCTGGACTGGACACACTAAATGTCTAGTGAAATAGCTCTAATGTAGTTAAGGCTGTTCTCATGTTCATTTCTCATATGGAAGGTTACCGATTATCCAGGTTCCCTCCTACAGCTCCCATCTGCCCTCACCCCAACTCCCAGGTAAGAGTCCGGAAACCTAATAATCAAGAACCTTTGGAAACAAGGCAGCCAATTAAAATGGTGTTTTCCTCAGACTGTTATTCTCTTAAATATATTAAATGGTAGTCATTTAAGCAGCCCATGTACCCCTCCCTGCTTCACGGTACACTGAGCAGAGCTCAAGAGAAGAATCTTTCAGTGGACTCCTACATACTTAGACCACCTGTTCCTTTCTAGCTCTTAACATCTTTCACGTAGAGTCGTCGTCAGATTCAGTCATCCTCCTGAATCTCTGGCCTTCGTTCACTCCCAGATACTTCCTCTTTGCTGTGCCCGCTTAGCACACATACTAAAAATGGAACAATGAGATTAGCGGGGCCCCTGCATAGGGATGACAGGCAAACTCGTTAAGTGTTTCATTTAAAAAACGAAAACAAAAAAGGCCAATCATGCTTCTGATTAGTATGGATTAAAGGTACGGGGCCAGGAAGCTGCCTGGGCTCTGGGAGTTCATGTTCTCCAAGCGCCACACACTCCTCTGTCTTGTGACATGTTCTTACGGCTCTCATGATCTGGAATACTTTTTCTGCCCGTGAAAATAATATGCACTAAGAATCAGTCCAGATGCTACAACTTTTGGACTACAAATAATTCTCCTTGAGCATCTTAGACATAATTTACTCTGTATTATGATTGATTGATTTCTTCCATTAGATTCTAAAACCCATGAGGGGCAGTCTGCTCTGCTCTCCTAACATTGACGCATTTAGTAAAATGAGGAGTTGAACTACCTAAGACAGTGGATTACTTGAAAACGTCCCAAACATGGTTCTGTTTAAGACATTAGCCAAAGGATGAGACTATACCAAAATCTATTTGTCTTTTATTGAGCACTTATTACGTGGATTTCAGAATAATGTTTTACATTTAGCTTTGTTCTAGTTCCAGCTTTGAGTCAAATTTCTACTTCTATTGATCGATAAGAAGGGAAGACACTGATAACTTAGTTCCACTGGACTAAGGGAACAGTACCCCGCTGGCTTGTACCACTTGACAGCCCGAGGAACCCCTGCTCCAAAAGTCGCCACCTCAGTAAGTAAAGCTTTGGGCGTGAGAGCAGCACTCCACCTGAGGATCAACACCACTTTCACCACAGACAGTAGCACTGCTTACCTTAGTCACTACTAAAAACGATTATCTCTGGATCAACTGCGTTCCGCTGACCTGAATTAAATCCCCACCTCTTCCCTGTCCTCCACCTCAGATCTTCTAAACTTCTGTTTTCTGATTTGCAGTTTTCTACGGTCTGAAGAACTCCTCTCTTGCCTTAACTACAAATCCAGCTAGTCTGAAACATACCATTTCCCTGTGGCCAATCAACAAAACTTCTCTCCTCTGAGGCACACACGATCTAGCCAAACAACCTTCTTTCTCAACTTTTTTATCCTCTGTTGACCTCATGGTCCTATTCGTTAGTCACTGAAAGCTTTGGCACCTGGTTTGTGTCTTCCTCCCATTCACTTGGATGATACCCAACACCCATGCATGGCCTCCCAGTTCTCCGTTTCAGCGACCTGTTCTTCTACTGGTTACTGACTTCAAGATAACACTTTGAACCTTGTCATCACCAGGAAAGAAAATTTCTAATTAAAAACTCTTATTTTGTTTTTCCAGCTTCCTTCAATTGAAATGGCAATCTGTTAGCCCCTATGTTTCTCACCACCCGTGCCTGTCCTCACTCTTCTATCCTTACTTTGTACTTAATCCACAGCCCAGCCCTGTAACATAGGACTACCTTGCAAATACTTTTAAATCCTTGTCTCTCCCACTTTAGAACCTACTAATCAAAGCTCGAACACTTCATGAATTCAGCCCTCTAGTTTTTCATTCCTTGGGCCTTAACAGCTGAAAATTACTGGAAGGAAGACTCCTACAGTGAGACAGACTGGCGTTACTTTATAAAGATCCTAGAGGGCAATCCAATATTGCGCAGCATTCTCAGCCATATTTCTCTGGTAAATACTTGCCTACTCTGACAGCTCATTCTTTCTCCTCAAAAGTTTTTACTTTTTTTCATTCTTAGCCAGTGACCTCACCCTGTACCTCGAGAAAACAGAAACCAATAGTGATTAACTCTATAGTTTCTATATGTCGGCAAATCGAACTCCAATAAAAAAAATGCAAAAAAAAAAAAAAACCCTCTACAGTTTAAAGTCCACCTTTTCTTTTTCTATTACAATAAAGGAAGTGTTTGCTTTTATTAGAGGCCAATTCCTTAATTCGTACTCAGCATTCCAATTCTTTTCATCTTTCTTGAACTATCTCCTTTGGTTATGAACTCTCCCCTGCCTCAACAATTCTCTTTTGGATTCATCAATTTAGGCTGGTGTTCTCAAATTTTTTTAGTTTATGATCCCTTTTCACACTTTAAAATATTGAGAATCCCAAAGAGCTTTGTTTATATCAATTATGTTTGATATTTACTGTAATAGAAGTTAAAATTGAGAAAATCCTTTTGAAATAAACTTATTTTTATGAAAGGAAAAAGACTTTTCAAAAAATAATACAAAGAGTGACCTTGTTTTATATTTTTGCACATCTTTTTAATGTCTAGCTTAATGGAAGATACTCAGTTTCTGCTATGTGTGCATTTATTTTGTTGCACTATATGAAGTTTATGAAAATTTGTCCCTAAACAGATATGCAGTTAGAAAACAGAGATGTACTCCAGTCATCTCATTTTTTTCAGGTAGCTGCTATTATTCTTAGATATTACGTTTGACAAAGTAACACATAATATGGGCTCTGACATCATATCAGAGAACTTTTTCCACCTTTTTATGTAAAATCCAGTGGTTTATCTTGTACTTTGAATAGATCTTTTACCCATGCATGGGTTTGTAACATCATGCATTGGTCATTTCAAAATAATGGTTCACCAAGTTATAAAGTATTTCCAAATGTTGACAGTTAATTACGTAATAGAAAGAAAAGATCACATTTGTTAATAATACCACCAATATCAGATAAGTCCGGGAAGCTTTCAAGCTCATGGTGGTTGGTCTATACAGGTTTTCCCAAATTTTAATTTTTGCTTGAAACCTCAACTTTCATCGTTGCCTACAAATGCTATCAGTTGTTTTCCCTGAAGTGATAAGCTACTAATAACTTCACTACTTTTCAAGAAAATGTCTGCCAGGTAAACAGTTTTTACTTGAAAGGTAGGACTGGCAAACAATGTTTCATTAAAAAAGCAAGCTGGTTCAGCTTTCAGATCAACTGCCAAAGAGCCTTCCCCTCAAGACAACCACAATTCTCTGGTGTGTGTAAGTGCTTCATGCAGGCTTCCCATTTTGTCTTACAGAACATTAAAAAGATACTCAAGCATCAAGATCTAATCACTCTTCACTTCTTCGTAAAGAATAATCTTAAAAGAGACTGGCTCCCCCACCCCCTTTTTCTGTAAACCGCAGGGGTGAGATGCTAAAGAATGGAGATGGCATTTTGTGCCACTCCTTGATTTGTGCTGAGGCACAGCATTTTTACCCACTATTGCTTCTGCACCATAAGTTCAAGTGTCAAAATAATAAAAAGGCAAATAAATAACTGCTTAGTGTGAAAGCGGTTCTGACCTCCTGAAAGAACCACATACCACCTAAGCAATGCTCAGCTTTTGCCTGAATGACTCTTAACACTGCTGTTAACTAATCTCCCAGACTTCAGTCTTGAATCTAATTCCTCCTCTGTTGCCTGAGTGGTTTTTCCTGAATCTCATTAGTTGCTATTTAAAGCTCTTCAAAGGCTTCTAACTGCCCTTAGAGTGAAATCCAAGTTCCTTTAACAACCTACAAGGCCCTACATAATTTAGTGCCTGCTTACATTTCAAAAATTTTTACCCTTCTCTCCCCTCATTCACTAAATTCCAGTCATACCAGTCATCTTTAATTTCCCTGAAAAGCAATTTCTTACTTCAAGGTCTATGGAAATGTCTCTGTACAAAGAATGCACTTTTCCTGTTTGTTCCCGCAGTATGCTATTTATCAAACCCAAACGTTGTTTCTGAGAAATCTCCCTGACCACACAATCTAGAGGAGGTTCCCTTCAGTTTTTTATAGCATCTTCTTTATTTCCTTTGAAGGGCCTTCTTAGTTTTCAACTAGTTGATTTGTCATTTGTGTTCCCTTCCCCTAATGGAGTGCAAACTTCATAAAAGGCAGGGAGCACTTCAATCTTCTTTATACATAGTAGTTGGGTTTTTTTTTTTTTTCATAGTAGTTGTTCTAAAGAACTGTTTAATCAATGGATACATTTCTCAGTATATTAACCAAGCATAGAAATCATTCCAAAGTGTTCAGTTACAGAATGCCATATTAGTCTGTTCTAAAAACTGAAATTCTAGCTACTTTAATGAATAAGAACTTATACTGGGTCTTACATATTAAAGATTCTCTGACTTTCACCTTCCTATTTAGGATTCTTGAACTTACCATGTGTGGCTTCTTGGTAACCAGGTGTCTTTGCCAACTTTTTCAATGCAAAATTTTTGAGGCCCATTACTTCCTAAACCAGGAAAATAAGACAAAATTTATCTGGTCCTTTAAACTTTTTGGTTTTAACAACTACTTATATAACAGAATATGTCACATAGTCCTATGACTAATATGGAATAAAATGTAAATCACTTCTGCCTAGAGAAGCTTCTTATTGCTGCAGAAATCCAGCAATACAATTTGAATCAGTGGAAAAAGAAGTAGCTCTAAAGAATTTTGCTCCCTTCACAATCACCCTAAGGAGCAAAAGCACTGGCCAGCCAGACTATGTAAGCAGCTTCATTTCTGTCTTATAAATGTACTTGGTATTAATTATTAGTCTTTCTTCTCGTAGATGCCCTAGAAAGAGCACAGAAGAATACTCCTTAGATTCAAGTCTGGTTTAGGTCTAAACGCCATTATTATCACAAAACTATCTACAGAGAAACTGTAGTAAAACTGCATTTACCCATGAGCTCAGCAAATCCTCCTAGAGGTAACCGGCAGGTTCCAGTGACAAACTGTAATAGTCGCATCCTCACTTCATTGTCTGTCTCCTTCACAAACTGTGTAACAAAACCAAATTTACTTTAATATAAAATAATCTAATAATTAAAATAGTAGACACTTACTTAAATTATTTAAATTTCCTCAAGAATTTATTAAGGCGAGGCATATGTGAAGTACATTATGAATCTTCAGTTAATCCTCACGAGTACACCACTGGTGGGCTACTACTCTTCTTACGTCCACCTCACAGAGAGGGAAATGGGAGGCTTCAAAAGGTCCTACCACTGAGAGGTAACCAGGACAGATGCCGTTTCGCTACGACAGCAGTCACCTAGTGAGGGCTGCTGCCCAGCTGTGCCCTATGCTCTTGGTGTGTTTAGCTCCTGCACCAGGACAAGGACACAGGTACCATCCTTGGCATCCCCAGTGTACATGCAGGCAAACAACAGACACCTGGAGATAAAACACTTGGTCTTTCTCAAACTGCTGCTAAGCGGCAGAACACTTGAACTCCGGTCTCCTGAGCTCTAACCCATTATCCTGACCCGAGTCAACTTACCCTCCTTCTCCTTATAAGCTACCAAAAACTAACGAACACTTCAAATCGCCACTCTCAACAGTTTGCGGTATTTTCTCCCACTAGAACTATTTTCTCGACTCCTCAGATTCTGCATACTTGAAAACTTAAACTATGCATTTTGTTAGACTATTTAGTTCATTTACTATCTTTTCAAAGAGGGATGCAAATGTGTAATGTGGTGGAATATAGATTTGAATTGGTCTGAGTATCCGTAGCAGAAGGCAGGGGAACTTACGGAGCAGTCTGAGAGCAGAAGTGCATCTTAGAAGACAAAATTTACGAAAAGTAAACAAAAATATACTTTGGGTAAGGGGAAGACAAAAAGTGCTAATATAAGACCAAAAACATTTCTGCACAGAACTGTGTTAGGGTACACATTTCATCAAGACACAAGAAACAGAGTTTATTACCACGTCTGGCATAAACCAACTCTTTTCCTAAAACAAACCCAATCTGGAAAACACAACTACTCATTTGGATTCACATGGCCCAAAGTTCAAGCTCCTCAGGTACAGACACAAATGTTCAAGGAAAAGTCCAAGAATATGAAGAGAGAAGAAGCTAATAAAGAGCCTAGAAAGATTATAAATACCCACATAGGTTCTGTAAGTGATGCAATTCAGGTATTTTAGGCTTGAAAATGGACTTATTCCTACTTTTTATTTTATTCATTTATTATTTTTTGTAAACTCTATGCCTGACCCTGATCAAGAGTCACATACTCTCACCAAATGAGCCAGCCAGGCATCCTTTGTTTAAAAGGTACAGCATCAAGAGCAGCTCTCACACCTTGCGACCAGTTTTTTCTCTACCTTTTCAGAGATGATGTATTGGTATACAGTTGACCCTTGAACAACGCAGGGGTTAGAGGCGCTGACCCCTACCCCGTGCAGTTGAAATCTCAGGAAAATCCACATACAACTTTTGACTCCCCAAAACTTAATTAATGACCTATTATTGCTGACCAGAAGCCATACTGATGAACAACACATATTCTGTATATGTATTATATACTATATTCTTACAGTAAAATATGCTAGAGAAAAAAAAATGTTACTAAGAAAATCATAAGGAAAATACATTTATAGTACTGTGCTGTAAAAAATCCATGTATAAGTAGCTGGCACAATTCAAACCCTTGTTGTTCAGGAATCGGCTGTTCCAGCATACATTTTGAATATACAGAATATAAATTTTCCTTTTAGCCCAATAGCATATTATATACACCTTCCTCTTCCCTTAAAATTGTACTGAAACATCTCATTCTCCAATATTTCTGTTAATTTCCATTAAAAAAGTAAAAGAATGATTACAATGTACAGAATTACAGAACAGTTATATAATTTATATACTTAGTCCCCTCCCAATGGTCATTTAGGTATTTTAAGTCTCTGTTAGTATACCAATAGTAGTGCAATAAATAATCTATCTAGTATGTGCCATTTTGCATATGTTGAAGTATACCTATAAATTTCTAGAAGTTTCTACACTTCTTTAAATTGTTAATAAATAAATGACATATCCTTATGAGTATTAAACAAAATCTCAGGCTTAGTTTTCATCTGAAAATGACAGTTCAGCATACATAAACTACAAGTTCAGTCACTAAATTGCTCAAATAAATCTCAATTAGTGGATTTTTGTGAAGAATATCCTTGGGCCTAGAGATTTGAAATTCTCAAACACACAAAATCTAATAAAGTGTGCTTCAAGATTAGCATGCAGCATTTGGATAAGCCCACCCTACTACAGTTTAAGCTAAAACACCAACAAAAGAAAGGAAGTAAGGGAAGGAAAGAAAAAAAAGGAAGTCCTTCTTGGGCATTATCCTTTAGACTACCCTAATTCCCTAGCATATATATTATCACACCCGAGGAATTAAGTATCTACATTGACTTTCTCATTAAAAAAACATACTAGTGGGGCCCTTGGAGGGGGCAGGGCTCAGATGGTTAAGCACCTGACTCTTGATCTCAGCTCAGGTCTTGGTCTCAGGGACGTTGAGTTCAAGCCCCACACGGGCTTAAAAAGCACACAAAAAACAAAACATACTCCCTCATTTACTTCTAGAATTAAGTAGAATTTATAAACTACTTTGATACTACCAGAAAAAACATGCTATGCCTGCAAATATTACCATTAAATTACTACTTAAAGAAGAGTCCATCATTCATTTTCCCACTTAGGAAAGACCATCAAAATAAGCAATGGAAACTCCTTTAACAAATGTTCACATATTCAACTTCTGATTTTATAATTCAAAGACTAAAAACCAAGTCCAAAGGCAGTGTCAATTTTAAAAATGAACTGTTTTTTAAACCACTGTCTCACGAGAAAACATTTTCTTTGAACCCTTTGTTTTAGAAAGATAAAAAAAGCAAATACCTGCCAAAACCAAATGATTTGCTTGCTGTTTCTTGTATAATGTCGATAAACAGTATTTCTCTGCCAATCTGCCAAATCAACTTCCTGCATGCCACACAACATAACCTGGGAAATGAGCACAGCAGCAGGTTACAGTGCAGACTTAGTGAAGAGAAGAACTATGTGACTGGTATTTGCTAATGAATACCTGTGCACATGCTGAATTACGTGAACAGCTAGGTACATGACAACTAATCACAGTAGGCACATCCAACAAAATCTGTAACAATTTAGAATAAGGATTCTTTGATACTTACCTTTTTTGTGTTTAATGAACTCAAACTGAAAGCATTTAGACATACTATTCTTCAAGAAAAACATTAGCTATGCTGAAAGAATCCTTTAGTTTAAAAAAAATCCAAATTATTATTATATTTCAAACATGTATTTCTGGTTCTTTTTTCTTTTTAATCTATGCGATCTTCTCTATTTAAAGTTAAAAATACACTAATTCCAGTGGGTGAGGAGATGGGGTAACTGGGTGACAGTTACTAAGGAGGAGGGCACTTGATGGGATGAGCAACTGGGTGTTATACTATATGTTGGCAAATTGAATTTAAACAAAAACAAATAAAAATATATACGAATTCCTGTTACTAATTCTTCCAGACTTTGGGAATAAAATATTCTATGTGAAATTTTCAAGTAAGCCCAGTACACCACATATGGGATGAAAGCTAATTTTGGCATAATAAGATAGTCTAATACTTACTTACTTCTTCATAAATCAACTTTGAGCTACAATTTATACGCAATGACATGAATGTATTTTAAGTATAGAGTTAGATGAGTTTTGACAGATATATACACCTATGTAACCACCACCACAATCAAGATGAAGAATATTCCCATTAGGTCCCATTTGTAGTCAAAAACACCATCCTCATCTTTGGCTCAATGTCATCAATGATATCATCACAGATTAAATTTTTGAGAATGCTACACACACACACACACACACACACACACACACCATTTTTCTGTTATCTCCACCCTCTGGCTCCCCACATCAACACAATGTTTATGAGATTCATCCACATTGTTGTGGGTACCATATTTCTTTCATGTTGCTAGGTGGTATTTCATTATGTGACTATACAACAATTTACTTATCCCATTTACTTCTTAATGGTCATTTAGAAGTTACTTCAAGTTTCTGGCTTTGATAAAGTTGTGATGAACATTTATGGAAAAATCTTTGTATGAATAGGTATTTTATTTCACTCGAGTAAATACCTAATAGTGGAACTGCTAGGGCACCAGAGGCTCATGTGTATCACATTGTAAGAATCCTCTAACATTATCCCAAAGTGGTATTTCATTTAGTTTTAATTCACATTTCCCCAGTAATGAATGAAGTTTCATGTGTTTACCTGCCATCATAGCTTCCTTTGTAAAGTGAGTCTTCCCCCATTCTACAAAATTTGTCTTTTTACTAAGCTGTAAGAGTATATGAATATACATATATATATATATATATAACACAAAATATGATGTGTGGCTAATTGTTTTGTGTTCTTCCTAAAAACTTGTGCCCATACTAAGATTTTTCTTTTTCCAGCTTTCATATTTATATTTTAAATTAATCTTTCTTAAGGCTAAAGTGAGGATCAAGGTTAATTTTCTAACATGGACATTTAGTTGATGCAGCATCATTTGTTTAAAAGACTTTTTCTCTTTCCCCACTGAAAAATATTAGCACTTCTGTTGAAAATCAATTGATAATATATATGTGTGGGTCTATTTCTGGACTCTCTTCTGTTCCACTGATATATTTGTGTATCCTTTCAAAAATACCATACTATCTTAATTATTATGGCTTAATAATAATTTCTGAAATCAAGTAGTGAACAACCTCCAAGTTTTCCTTTTTCAAAATTAATTGTTTTAGCTTATCTACCACCTTCGCATTTCCTTGTAATTTTAGAATCAGCCTGTCAATTTCTACAAAAACTTTTCTTGGGATGCTGATTGGGATGGTGTTGAATATACAGATAAATTAGGAGAGAAGTGACATTTTATAATGTTGAGTCTTCCAATACATAACATGATGTATTTCTCCATTTATTAAAGTTCTCTTTAATTTTTCTGAGCAATGTTTTGTGTTTTTAAGTATAGAGTTCTTGCATGCCCTTGGTTAAATTTATTTTTTGAGTGCTTTAATAAAAAAAACCAAAAAAAAAAAAAAAACAAAACAAACAAACAAAAAAACCTTACGATTTCAATTTCCAAGTGTTGCTGGCACACAGAAGATATACACTTGATTTTTAAATTATTGGCCTTCTTCTATCTTATACTCTTGCTAAATTCACAGTTACTTCTAGTAGGGTTTTTTTGTTTTTTGTTTTTTTTTGGTAGGTTCCTTAGGATTTTCTAAGTTGACAATCATGTTACCATGAATAAAGGCCATTTTACTTCTTTGCTTTTTATTTCTACTTTTGCCTCCCTGCACTGGCTGGGCTATCTAGTACAACGGGGCAATATAAAGGATGAGAGTAGACATCTTTGCCCCTGTTCCCAATCTCAACATGAAATATTCATGGTATCACCATATAGGATGATGTCAGGGTTGTATCTTTTTTTGTTGATACCCTTTAACAAACTGAGAAAGTTGCCTTCTATTTCTAGTGTAATGAGAATTTTTACAAAGAATGATTATTACATTATCTTGAACAGATTTTAACTTGTAAAGGGGCATGACTATGAATAATCATTACTTCACATAATGGTATGCATGCCCCTTATCGTGATATACATGGTTAAGAGATATGGAAGTAAAAGAAAAAGACTAGGAATAAAACTCAACATAAAGCAAAACAACAACAAAAAAGATCTGTATTTTCTCACAGCACTACTATGAGCTAAAGGCATCAGTAACCAATAAGGGCTTTAGTGTCCTTATGCATAAAAGGAAATTATCATATGGCCCAGCTATTTCACAGGGCCATGTGTGAGACAACTGTAAACTCTACCAAGGGTATATAAAAAAGTATGCACCTATTCACCTCCTTTCAGATCTACTATCTTGGTTTCATCTGTGCTCTAATGGTAGGACTCTGGCTGTAACATCCCTCTTTCACTTGGTGGGCCTCAAAAATAGGGGCTCTTAAGGGGGGTATGGAATATTTTAGGTGTATGCACTTTGAAGACACAAAATTATTTAATTTTTTTCAGATTCTTTAATGAAGTCTATGATTAAAAGAAAGATTAACAGTACTCTAAAAAATATCTAACCATTCTTTTCCTCTGATGTGTTTCTACTAATCTAACAGCCCTGCCTATGTTCTAACCTATATGGGGAAAGAAGACTTGAGGAATTCACCATAACTAATCATTTGAGAAATATGAACCAAAAACCACAATGGGATATCACCGTATACCCATCAGGGTTAGCTACTGAAACAAAGCAGAAAATAAATAAAAATAAAAAATAAAGGGCAAAGATGTGAAGAAATTGGAACTCTCGCATACTTTTGGTGGGAATATAACCCAGTTCAGCCACTGTAGAAAGCAGTGTGGGAGTTCCTCAAATAATTAAATATATAAAAAATAATAATAATAATTAAATATATAATTACTTTATGATCCAGCAAGACTACTGCTGGGTGTATATCCTAAAGAGGTATCTATGTATCCATATTTGTAGCAGTATTATTCATCAAAACCAAACAAAGCAAACCAAATATCACTGATAAATGGATAAACAAAACGTGGTATGTACGTACAATGGAATATTATTCAGCCCTAAAAAGGAAAGAAAATTTTATACATGCTACAATAGCAATAAACTATGAGGACGTTATTTTCAGTGAAATAAGCCAGTCACAGTAAGACAAATACTACATGATTTCACTTATAGGAGACACCAAGAGTAGTCAAACTCATACTAAGTAGAACAGTGGGGCCAGAGTAGAAATGGGGAGTGGTTTAATGGATACAGAATTTCAGTTTTGCAAAATGAAAAAAGCCTCGAGATTGGCTGCACAATAATGTGAATATACTTAACATTATTGAATTGTACACTTAAAAATGTTTAAAATGATAAATTTTGTTATGTGTATTTTACTCTCTCCCATCCCCCTTCAAAAGAATTTCTAATATACTTCTAACAAGTCTAAATACAGTTACGGTGACTAAGAATTATGACCTAAAAAACTGATCTTTGGGGCAACTTCACTAGTAAACCAGGGTTTCATGAAGTCCCCCAAGTTATTAGGAAGGTTGCATTCACCTTGAGGACCCCTAATAGCAGGCACTGATTAATGATTCTGTGCCCATGACATTATCATGACACTTAAGACCACCATCCCATGCTGGGATTTCAATACCCCCCTCACCCCTGACATGAATGAGAGGATTCAAGATTGTGCCATGTCATTTAAAAATGCGTGGACATCCTTCTGTGGAAGCACAAAAACAGTCCATCCTCCCAGTAACATTTCCTAAATAGCATAATAAAAGAGCCTAACCTCCAATTCTTTTTCATCAAAGTACTGAAGCCACTGAAGAGGGACAACTTCATTGAAACCATCAAGGAAAGCTTTGGTCTGTTCCTGCACTCCTCGAGAAAAACGCCACTCTGTCATTAAACTGAAAATAAAGACAGCATTTAAAAATAGTTAATTTGTTATGTGAGGTAAATGCTTAGAAACAAAGTACTTCTGAAATTCCTTTTTCCAAATATACTATATATAACACATATATATGTGATGTGTGTATGTAAGTAGTTTAAGAGTTAACGTGCTTCTCCATGAGGAAATCAGTTCTAGCACATCAGCAGCTAAAAAGGATGCTTTTTCTTTTTTTTAAGATTGTATTTATTTATTCATTCATGAGAGACAGAAAGAGAAAGAGAGAGACAGAGACACAGGCAGAGGGAGAAGCAGGCTCCATGCAGGGAGCCCGATGTGGGGCTCGATCCCGGGTCTCCAGGATCAGGCCCCAGGCTGAAGGTGGCGCTAAACCACTGACCCACCCAGGGATCCCCAAGGATGCTTTTCAAAATAGGACGTTCTCTGTCAATAACACAGCCACATTTGAGCACTTCTTTCCTGTTCGTGGGTAGACAAAGAATACCAAATATCGTGTGCTAACACAGTAAGGGAAAGGCTCCTCATTCTACAGGTTTTCCTTCCAGCCAAGCATTTGCCAAGGAAGACTTGAGAAGGCTTAAAGCTGGAGAATTGGTTCTTTCCATGCTATTACAGAGAACGCGAAGATTTCCTAACAGGATAGAAAAAAATCGTATGTAAGATGAAAATAAAAATATTCTGAGGCGACATATCAAGCAGATGTAGAGGAGGAAGTATAATAAAAAAGAAGGAAGAGAATCTGTACGGTGCTGCAGGATCTCCACAAAGGACCCCTCTGACAGTAGATGGGTCTGGAGGTCTCTGTGGAGGAACAGCGCAGGACTAGTGATGGGGAGAAGCTGCCGATACCAGCAGATAAAAGGAAAGGCCATTTACCCACATTGGGTCCCAGAGGAAGCTGGTCTTCTCTGCTGAGGCAAACCTTTCATCCTTGCTGCCTCTACAGCTGTTCATCAATGACTTGCCCTCTTTTGCCCATGCCCTCAACTCTACCTTCCCACCTCACTTCCCACTTGCCCACATGGGTGCTAGACTATTACTTTCCAAAACCCTTCCTTCAACCCAGTGTTTTTATGTTTTTTTAATGTTTTATTTATTTATTCATGGGAGACACAGAGAGAGAGAGGCAGAAACATAGGAAGAGGGAGAAGCAGGCTCCCTCCCATCAGTGGAGCCTGATGTGAGACTCAATCCCAGGACCCCGGGATCATGACCTGAGCCAAAGGCAGACGCTCAACCACTGAGCCATGCAGGTGACCCCCAGTGTTTCTTCTTAACTATTCTCTCTCTCTTTACTACCACTCCTAATAAAAGTTTATACTTCACTGTCTCCACTTCTCACCTCCTATTCACCCAAATTTTTTTTTTAATTTATTTTACTTTATTTATGATAGGCACACAGTGAGAGGGAGAGAGGCAGAGACACAGGCAGAGGGAGAAACAGGCTCCATGCACCGGGAGCCCGACGTGGGACTCGATCCCGGGTCTCCAGGATCGCGCCCTGGGCCAAAGGCAGGTGCTAAACCGCTGCGCCACCCAGGGATCCCCTCACCCAAATTTGAAACCACTGTAATGGTCTGGGGCTTTCAACATCTCTTCTAGGGGGAAAAAAAACCCTTTCTTCACAAATATCACCAAAGAACTCTAATTGCCAAGCCCCAGGCCCTCTTCAAAATCACTCCTGTGCATGAACGTCCTGTAACACTGGGCACTGGCATTCGCAAGCCGACTTTAGTTTTTCCCTGGTCTGGCAAAACCACCATTCCTGATCTGATCTAACTCTGGCTATTTCTTAATTTCCTTCAATGCTTTCACTGTTCCATAGATGTTGGTATCACTGCGATCTCTGCCTTCTTTTCTTTTAACTACCTAAACATGATATCATTAATTACCTAAACTCTTAATCATCACAGAAAAGCCAGTCATTCTTGAGTTCCCAAATCCTGATTTCCTCCTAAGATACTAAGATATAAAGTCCTCCTTCCTTGGATATCCTGCTAACACATGCAACTGTTAACCAATCCAGACACCTCAAATATTTCATTTGCTAGTATTTTCCTCATTATATGTAACTGATCTTTGAACCTGAACTAATCTATTCCTATAACATCCTTAAAAAATCCATTCCTTCATTTATGTCTACTGTGTCCTATTTCAGGTCTATGATACTCAACCACAAGAAGAATGAAAGAGCCTCTTACCTATGTTCTGATCTCTAACCACTCTCTTCCATCCATCTATCCCCTCCCAGGTCATCCTCCACAAAGATACCAGAATTAGCCTTCCAAAAACAATTCTCATCACCTCATCTTGGTTTTGGTTAGTTTTTCATGACTCATATTAGAGCAAATTCCAGGTTTCTTAGACATAAGAATTTCCTTAGACTAATATACAATCTGGCTACCACTTGAGGCTCCTAGCTAGCCACTATTTCTCACCATGATACTATTACCACAGTGCTGTGGTTGTAGATTCTCAGGATAAACTAATCCCTTTAATACCTCAATTCCTCTGCTCCAAGGGGATCCCTGGGTGGCTCAGCGGTTTAGCACCTGCCTTCGGCCCAGAGCGTGATCCTGGAGTCCCAGGATGAGTCCCATATCGGGCTCCCTGCATGGAGCCTGCTTCTCCCTCTGCCTATGTCTCTGTCTCTCTCTCTGTGTGTCTCTCAGGAATAAATAAAATCTTAAAAAAAAAAATTCCTCTGCTCCTGCTATTTCCCTCCCCCCAAAACTCTCCATCTACCAGGCAAGCTCCCATTTGTCTTTTCAGACCTAACATACGCAATGTCCTATGAAGAACTTTCCTCAGTTCTCCCAACAGAATCAATGACTTCCTTCTCACTCTGGATTCCGACAGCACTTCATACATCTTTCTACCATTCATTTACTCATAGATTCATGGAGGTCCTACTCTGTACACTAGAAACAAAATATCACAATTTAAAAAGAAGAGTAGTCTCACATAATAGCATAAAGTCTCACATAAAGAGCAAGATTAAAATACAAGATTAAAAAGTCTGTTACGGTTTCAGAGACTGAAACGAAATTATCCAAAAATTGTTTATATTCAGGATTAGATATTAACTTTTTATAACAGGTGTTATATAGATAAGACTTTAGAAAACAGTGATCACCTTAACACAATACATAAAATTCAAAGTAGTGAACTAAATATGAACTTCATATGATGAAATTGTATTTAATCTGTTTTCGTTATTTGAAAATATCGACAGTATTTTTAAAAATGCTTCAGTTACGCTATTAACTAACTACTGTTGGATCCTGTGGAAAGTTTAAGGCTTAAGTACAGAAAGCCCAGTGCCTTATGAACCATCCTTATAAATATGTTTTCAAAATGTAAATGGCTATATTGTTTTTGCCAGTAAGAGTAATAAATGCTTACTGCATGACAAATAAGCAAAACAGAAATGTCAGAGAATACAAATATATACAAAGAAGAAAATCAGTCATTGGCTTAACTCCAATTGGACAACAGTAGTTTAGCAGAAAAATAGGAAGCCAGAGGCCTAGAATGCCACATAGAATGGCTGCATTTACTTAATAAACAGGGAGACACTAAGGATGTGAAATTCAAAGGCCATAGCAACTTATGGGTTAAAAAGAGAAAAAAAGATAATTATGACCTTCTGGGAAAGCAACACACCAATATCTATTAAAGAGTCTTTGACTGAATTCTCTCACTTCAGAAATCTATCCCACAAAGACAAAAAGCAGCAGGTATACAGAGTTATGCTTAAGGAAGTTTTGTGTTGCCTTTGTAGTAGCCCAAACTGGACACAACCTGAATGATACCTACTAGCAAAAATGACAGATGGATATATCATAATTAATCTAGCTATTAGAAAATGTGTTAGATCTCTCCTTACTGATGTGGAGGATGGAATAACCAAGCTAGACAGTAACATGTATGATATGATCCCATTTTTTAAACAAATATCAAGAACAACATAAAAATTTGAGACAAAGGTGACACTGAGAATCCAAGCCTGAAAGAGCATAAAAATGATAGTACCATCAACAGAGACAGGTCAAGTGAGGCAATAGAAAAACAAATTGAGAATTTTGATTTTGACGTGTTGAGGAGTTGGCAAACTGTGGCCCATGGGCCCACTCCAGCCTGTCATCAGTTTTTTATACACAGCATGTGAGCTAAGAATAGTCTTTACTTTTTAAAAATGGCTGAGAAAATATTGAAAGAATATCTCATGATTTGAAATCACATTTCAGAGTCCTCAGTAGTTTTCCTGGAACATAGCTACAAGTATCTCTTCATATTCTATGTGCTTTTGTGCTGCAATAGCAGAGTGGAGTAGTTCCGAGAGAGACTGTATGTGGCTCACAAGCCTGAAATATTTACTATCTGGTTCTATTCTGGAAAGGTATGGATTTACCTTGCTGGCAAATGGAAATTACACCTTAAGTATCTGAAGATACTACCTTAATAGAAAACTGAAGCCACGGTAGCAGGCTATGTAGAGAAGCAGGTTGAATAAAGAACCTGGGAAAAGCATGCATAGCTATGAAATTGGGGTTTAGGTAACCATCATTACAGAAAATGTGAAGAAAATTTCTATGGTGCAGGATCATGGAATTCAAGAAAATAAAGGGTTTCAAAACAGGGGCTTGGCAGGTCCTATGAAAAGAGTTAAGTTAAAAAGGAAAAGTGAGCTGGAAGAGGAATGAGCATCAGGCTGCTGGTCAGAGCCTGGGCTTCAGGCTGGGCTTTGCTAAACAACCTGAAAGAGCACCCTGGGTGCTTCACCTAGAAATAAAAAAGCTTCACAGTCTTTGCAAAGCCCTTTTAAGCCCCACTATTCTATAATTTTTGATCTGGACAAAGGTAGAATGCATACAGCACGTGGGAGTGGGAAAATGAAGGTCACCATTTATTCCTTTATTTCAAGAACACTGGTACTATTGAGAAGAACTTAAATAAATGTACATTAGAGACAAGAGAAGTTATTTTTTTTAAGAGAAGTTATTTTAGTACATTTGAATTTTTGAGCATGTTTATAAACAGACCAAGATGGAGTAGAGCGCAAATGCAAAAAAGGATAAGCGAAAGGGGGAATGAATGCGGGAACAGCTTCCCAGAGGAGTGAACATGGGATAAAATTAAAGGTACAGACAGATGAGTTAGTTCTGACATGCTCTAGAAGTTCTAGAGATTCAGGTCAATCAGGTGTATCACCTTACCCAATATATTCATCTTTGTTCTCCTCAGTCACCAGGATATTGGAACCTCCCAGCTTCAGGTCATGTGAAGTAACCTTTCCCAAAATTTCCATGTCAACAGAAAAGTACATTTCTAAGCCACATTCTTCAATGTTGTTGTCTCTAGGTGATACAAATATACATTGATTAATTAATGTATCTAATTTGGCTTTAAGAAAATGCCTTATTGAAAGATAAATCTTCAAACCTTATCCAGATAAGGGAGTTATAAAATTCAGTATCAATAGATTCCAAATCCTTAATAGTCAGTTTTTTACTTAGCATACGCTTGTAGAATGGTAAAGAGAAACCAGTATCAATAAACTTCCCATGAAAAAGTGCCTGCCAAGAGAAATAAAAATTTTTACTTAAAAATTTATAAAACAACAATTTTCTTATTTAGAGCACAATGATAACAGAGAAAATGTGAGGCTTCACAGGCCAAAATAAGCACTTAAATAAGCAACCGGCATAAATCATGAAAACCAAAATATTACATGAAATGTATTAAGTATGAAACACAAAATACAAAGTTAAATGACTTCAAACACTTAGCTCTATCACATTCTATCAATAACTGTCAACGAGGACGGTAAAGGAACAAAACCCCCACTCTTTCTAGGATGTTTTATAAATTACCTACCTGGATGCAGAAATAGAGGAAAAAACCTCAGGGCTCCTGTGCATACATCAGCAAGACAAGACCCCTCCTTCTACTCCTTTCTGACCACAGTTGCTTAAGAGATTTGCAGGACTAACTCCATTTGCCTTCACTGTTGCTCACAACAGCCAACACAGGAAGTGCCAGACCCTCTCAGCACCCCAACTCTCACCACCAATTGCCCATCCATTTCAAAATCCAATTCCATTTCTCACACCTCCCCTCACTCCCAAAACCATCTCTATGATTTGCCCTTTGAAGTTTGTAATCCATCATTAACAAAATACCCCAGATACTCAACTTGTTCGTTGAAGATCCTTTAGCACCTTGATTTAACAAACCTCTGGCACTTTTCTGAGGACTTGTTTCCCCTCAAGTCCTCCCAAAGGGGTGCTGTTTCTCTCCCATCCCCTTCATGTCACCACACCTGGAAGTAGGGCATTACTAATGCCTACTCATTACTAATTCCTACTACTCAAATGTGCCCGTCTTCCAACTCATGGCTTCATACTGCCATTAGTGGCTCACCACCCTCACCCTCACGTTGCTGTCATCAACTGTAGATCTCTGGGTTTCTCCTTGTTACTCCCTCAATGACGTGTTCTTCTACACTACCATCATAATTTTGGACATTTCAACCTCTAAACATTCTTGACATCAATGACCTTAGATACTGTTACTAGCAAGAACTGTTTTCCTTCACAAACTCAATTTGAACCACACCTAATTTTCTAGCTCACTGCCTTTTGCAATTTTTGACTCCACTGGAATCTAAAGAATACATGGAACCTTATCACTGTTTCTCAGCTTCTCAAAAAAGTTATTTCTCCCCTTATTCAGTTTTGACTCCATCATCAATCATTAAAATTACTCTCTTGTATACCTTCAAACCCAGCCTCTCCTCAATGAATTTCTGGCAAAATCCAAAGCCCAGCTAAACACAACCCTTAACCTACTCCATGCCTGTGCCTAGGTACTGGAACATGCTAGAAATGCACATACAACCATGCTGACTAGTTCATGACCAACAATCTCCAGTGGGAGCTTGGTGGGAGCCTGATAATCATTATTTCCCCACTGCAGTCACTCTCCTGGGTGACTATTTCATTCCTCAAATAGTTCTTTTCTCTACTTCTTACTCTGAGCTAATGGTCTTGCTTTTTCTCTTACTCAAGATCACTGCTCCTGTACTCCCTATCTCTTTGACCTCATCAAATTCTTTTTTCTTACTTAATCATGATTATCTGCATGTAAATATTTTATTCTCCTCCCATTCTCGATTCCATATCTATTTCTAGATACTACCCAATTTCCCTATCATCCTTTACAGCAAACTTCCTTAAAATATTTGTTTATGGGATCCCTGGGTGGCGCAGCGGTTTGGCGCCTGCCTTTGGCCCAGGGCGCGATCCTGGAGACCCGGGATCGAATCCCACATCGGGCTTCTGGTGCATGGAGCCTGCTTCTCCCTCTGCCTGTGTCTCTGCCTCTCTCTCTCTCTCTGTGACTATCATAAATAAATAAAAATTAAAAAAAATATATTTGTTTATATTTGTCATCTCCATTTCTCTTTCCATTCTCTCTGGATTTCCCTCCCACCAATCAACTGTTCCTCTCTACTGCTCCTGAATATCTTTCCGCTGGCCAAATCAAATGGTTACTTCTAAGATCTCATCTTGCTCACCATACCAGCACTCTGGACAGGGCTGGTCATCTTCCTTCGTCTTCTAGCAACTGTTCTTGTTTGTTTGATTCTCCTACCTCCTCTGCCTCAGCTCTTTTGCTGGTTCCTTCCCATCTCCTTGACTTACTTGCAAATGTCCTTAAATTTCTTCTCTGTCTACTCTTATTCCTTAAATAATCACATAGCCCTAACCTAGCTAGATACCCCCTCATTGCCAGACTTTTATACTCAACTACCTATTATATATCTCCATTTGGAGGTTAGACCTACATTTTTTCCAAATTTGAATTTTGATTTTTCCGAACCCCAAAAATGTGCTCTTGCCACAACCCTGCCACCTTATAATACAGCAAATGCAACCAGACACACAGGCCATAAATTTTGGTGCCATACTTGACTCTCTCACGCTGTGAATTTAAGCCGTCTGAAAGTTCTGTTAGCTCCAGAATCCAAACCACTTCTCCCTACCTCCTTTGCTATATTACTCAAGTCCAAGACACTATCACCTCTCACCTGGATTGTGGCAAATGGTCTCTCTGCTTCCACTGTTGCTTTCCTCTGCCCCTAATTAGTCTCTTTTCTACACAGCAGCAAGTAGACTTAGTAAACCCATCTCTGGCCAAATTCTTTCTCAAATACTCTGTTCCATGCATACTATTTTTTAATCAAAAATGTAATTTCACTTTGGAACTTTTTTCTTGCTGTTCCTTCTGCCTAGAAAGTCATTCTCCAAGATATATGCATCATTCAATCCCTTGCTTTCACATTTCTCTTTATGTGCTACCCCTCAGAGAGGTTTCCTCTAATCATGCCATATAAAAAAGTAACCACTCCTTTTCCCTCAGCACATACTTATGTATTATTCTGTCTCCCTCTAATAGAATTTAGATACTGAGAGCAGGGACTACGTCTTTTCTTCATGGTTTCCTCTATGTCATACTATGATGCCATAGTAGGTGCTCAATAAATATTTGCAGAGTGAATAAACATAAAATGTACAAATAAACACAAATATTTCTGAAAAGAGAATAGTCCCACAAGAGCTTCTGCAAAGTTCTGAAAACTCCCAAAATATCAGTCAGGTGCAATTGTTATACAACTCAGATTTTCCTTTTATACAGAAAAAGTCACGCTGTAATCAAGCTTTATCTATAAAATCAAAGGACTTTTAATAGCTAAGCAGCTACATTAATAATCCTCATATTCCCAATCTTGATTTCATACAGGTACTCAAAAAATATACTGTTCCTCTTTCTAGGCAAATTTCCTTGGTAACAAAATTTAAATATACACAATCGAGGACAACATGGATCATTTTTTTAAGTCCTCCCTAAAATATTTTTGAAATAAGCAAGTTTGAATAAATGAATAAATAAATAAATAAATAAAGGAAAATTAGGACTCACCATAGCAATAAAGCGACCAATAAAACAGAAGTATGAGAGATGGTCTGGATTAATGGTTGATGCTGGATTTATTTGTAGACAATAGTTGTTCTTGCCAGCATACTCAAATAAGCAATACATGGGGTTCAAAACTTCATGTGAAAGCAAGAAAAACCATTCTCTAAAAGAAAGTAAGATTATTTTTTAGCATTCATACATACATGAATTTAAAAACATCTTAAATATACCCATGCACATATCATATCTCTGCTCAACAGCCTTTAACAACTTCACTGCCCAATTCCTCAGTGCTCCAGTTAAGTCTTCCTATGATCTGACCCTCCATCCAGTCACCTGCAGTTCCTGTGATGCCAAACCACAAACTCAGTGCCACTCATAGATATCATGCTTCTGTCTATGCTGTAACTTTCATTTGAGTATGTCTCCTCAGTGTCAGCTCAGCCTGGTTAGGTCCCACTTTTGCTTTCAGTCAACTTATACATATCCTGCTTCAACAATTTTTTGAAGCAACTTTCAGCATATTGATTTGTATCAATCACTGAATACTTTGTGGTATTGTTATAACAACCACAATATTCTTCATCTTCCCATACATGCATGACCTGCCCATCCACTAGACTAGAAGCTCCTCAAAAGGAAAAGCCATGTCTTCATATATATTTTTGTATCCTTAACTCACAGGCATTCTAGGATCTATATGCAATAGGTTTTAGTAAGTATTTGTTGGTGATACTGACATAGAAAGCATTACTGCTACAAAAGTTTAAATTTATTGCCAATGTATTACAAATGGAACTAAAATTAAAAACACGAAATCTTTCAATGTGATAAGCATACTCTAACTTATTACCACCTATGCTGCCTCATTTATCAAAGTCGAATACATGAAATCCAACTAGATAAAAGATTAATAATTCATAACACAAAATAAATCCAATCTGCAAGACTCCCTTTAAAAGAAATTATTTCTAAAGCAGGGTTCCAAGCTCAAATGCTTATAGTGACCATCAGTAAGTGGTTTCCTTCTCTACACAGGCCTCATATTCTCTACTTAACCACAACCCGTCATTCTTCATTGTATTCCTGATAAAAGTTATTACCACTTTTAAGGAAGAATTCTTTCTAGGCAGATAATCATTGTCCTTAGATGACAGGGCAGTGGTGGGCACAGAGTGAAATGAAAAAGAATGTATCTAACCTACAGAGCTGAATCAGCTACTGAGATTCAGCCAATTGATGTCATGTGAGAAGGTGGGAATGTGGGTCTAAGGTTTTTAAAGAGAAGCCAGAAATCTTGATTCTTAAGCATAATCTAGTGATTTTCTTTAATGCTGTCAAATAATTGAAAAAATTTAAAAATCACAATGGGAGACATTATTAGGCAGGCCAGATCTAGCCTGGAAACCCATTTACAAAAAGCTTTTCTTTATAAAGCTTTAAAAATACAATCTCAGAAACTGCCTAATAGGTAGAGAAGGGAGTCTCTCCCTATAAAAAAATCAACTAAGAAATGACAAAACACCAATTAACCAAACTTAATTCAGTCCCAATATAGCAGTTGAACCACGTGACTTCCCACTGGGACAAGGTTGAGGTAAGACATGCCCCCCAGGGAAAGGATTGACAGGTCTGTGAGAATGTGTTTAGACACACACACAAAAAAATAGAAATAAACTTTCTAGTTGCTGCAAATCACTTTTAGCAAACAGCAGCCCAGAGAAAATGGAATATGTTCAAAAGAAGAATGCCTATAACATGGTATCTGACCTATATATCTTGACACTAAAAGAAAAGAAGGAAAAATTCTAACTAACAAGAGGTGGAAGAGTTCATTTTCAACATATCCTTTCCTATATTCTCAAATAAACTAAAGAGAGGTTAGAAAATTATGAGACAACAGATGAGCTAGCAGAGCCTAGAGAAGAAAATGAAGAAAACAGTAAAGCCACTAATGAAGAAAAATCACATTAGAAGCAACAAAATGTAGGGCAGTACTGCATACAGTGACATGAGGATAGGTTTGAGAAAATTGAAACAAAGTGGAAAAGCACACAGATAAAAATAATCAGAGAAAAGATGACAGACATGTAAGACTGACAAAGAAGATTCCACATACCCATGACTGATGTTCCTGAAGAAAAATGGAACAAATGGAACAGAAAAAATTTTCAAAGACATAATAGAAGAAAATTTCCCTTAAAATAAGAAAGATTTTAATATGTTCCTAAGAAAAGATATAAAACAATCAATAATGAAATTAATGAACTTCAAGGAAAAGGACTGTGTAGGCACCCAAAGAAAGAGTTTCCTACAAGGGGCTGTCCTTCCACTGCATAGTGTTGTTAACATTCAGTGCTAGAAGACCGTGAAGCAATGTCTACAGAGGAGTAGAGAAACTGGAGTTGCATAAGAAATTTGCATCTAGTGAAGTTGTTTATATACAAAAGCAACAGAAAATACATTTTCAAACATGCAAAACTAAAGGAGTATATCACCCTTGTGAACTCCTAAATAAATTAAAACTAATACCCGAATCAAAATTAAGAATTTGGGAATAAGAAAATCATGGTATGGAATAACTGGATATGTGCATTTAAACCTTCAAAACATAAAACTAAACCCAAATAGTTGAGGTAACTATGAGTGCAGACAAGTGTATGAATGTTATAAAATCAGACAGTAAAAATAGTATATTTCATTTCTAAGATATACCTATTTTTTAATGTCTGAACATTTCTGAATTGAGATAAATCACAACAGATGTGATATGAACATTTACTGTGATAGGTAGTGTTTCTTTTCTGAAAAAGCTTAGTAATACGTTGAAGGAGAAAATATGTTAATTAACCAAACCTCTGATAATTGCACATATATGGTCCCACCTATCTCTTTTTGCCTGCTGTACTAAAATTATGATTTTTGTAATTCTGTACACTTTTGAAATACTAGTTTAAAAAGATTTGTTCCTATGAAAAGCAGGTTTAATTCTTTTAAAAGATTTAATGAAAGTGTTCCGCTTAAAAATAACCTTGTCAAATTAGGTGTGGGCAAAGCAAAAAAGTTGTTCATTAAAAAAAAAGGATTTCCCACTCTTATTGCTTCACATTTCCCACTGTTAACAATCTATTTAATGAATGTGAAAAACTATTCTCACAAGGGCTCAGATTGGATTAAAACACAAACATAAAATCAACATATACTGTTACAATAGCAATAATTAAGATCCATTAATTTTGGTATCTGCATACAATGTAATATTATGCAACCATTAAATGAGAGAAGTATTAGTGTCATAAAATAAAGGAGAGTATTAATAGCTCCATACAGGCTATGAAAAGATGTCCATGAGATATAAAACGATAAAATGAAGTTGCCATATTGTACATGTTGTATGATCAACTCGGTTTCAAAGAAAAAAAAAAACAGCAAATATATACTATATCACACATACATACAAATTTATATATATGCAAAGAAAATGTATAGGATAAACAAGATAGTAGTAACAGTTACCTCTAGAATTGTGCTAATAATTTAACTTTTGTTTTTAAAAATAACTGGATTGCTACTGAAAAAAAAGTATCTTTTCAAGAATACACCCAATGCATACAATGGAGACATACTTATTTCAAAGCAAATGTGCGTTTATTTTACCTTGCTAGACCACCATAATCAAGTCCTTCTTCTCCTCTAAATATTACATATAATCGCCTTCTCAAGTCATAGGGTTTTAATGCCATAATCTAAAACAAAAACATGGATACTTAAGCACTCATACAGCACAAGTTTCTTCCAAAACAATTCAATTTAAATTTAATCTCCACTTCCAAAATAACACATTTCCTTATCTTGTACAATGCCTTTAACTCAAGAGATAAACTGGTATGTTCCACAAACTAGTAGAGATGTACCTTACTCTATTAAACTTTCTGTGATTTACCTTCTAAAATATCTTTCCCCTCTTTTAGTATTAAACGGTAGTTCTACTTTGGATCAGTGGCAACAGAGGAAGAGTGACACAGAAAGCTTTTAAGTTTAGAAAATACTCCTTCCCCTGTCATGCCCCAAATTACCAGAATCTTGTAAAAGGTGACTTATACTTTTTTAACTGGCAACATCTGATAAGAAGCAAAGAGCTTGTTCTGGGTCCTGCTTATACCACATATTCCATTTCTCAGTAGGAAAGGGACTCAGTCAGCTAAAGCAAAGAATTATTTATACAATACCCATATCCAATTTCCATAGTCCTTAATGCCTTACATTGGATTACTAGCAAACAGGTTTTACTTCTGGATAACAATTAACTACTTCCACCACACATCTGTCAAAACCAAAGCCAAGACTGATGTTCGTGTGACGGCACAGCTCACCAGCAGGACTTTGCCTCATAGGCAGTCATGCACATCAAATAGACCATCATTCTCCCCACACCAGAGGACAAGGCAAAATAAAGTCTTTCGTGACTTGGATGTACAACTTACTACAATAAAGCTCAAACTACAATAAAGCTCAAGAACTTAGAGCAAGCTAAGAATTAAGTCCAACCAAAAAAAAGTTTTGATAATAGCTACATTAAGTATCTTGCCCAAATTCCAACAGCTAGTAAAATTAAACTAGAATTTAAACATCTCTGACTTTAGAATGCTGCTATTTTGGCTTGTTTATGTACAAGTCCCTGTGTACATGTACACACAGGGGGCTTTCAATTCATCACTGTAATACTTCTGGGAGAGGAATGAGAAGGCTTTTATGAAAAATTCTCCACATCATCAGAAAAAAATTTAATATGTTGATATTTTCTCTTTATATATCCTGTAGATGATTCAGGAAAGGCAGACATATTACAATCATGTATTCATTCACCAAATGTTTACTGAATACCTGCTTTATGCAAGACACTATTCTAGGTACTGAGCATAACAGCAGTAAGTGAGGTAGTTTGTGCTCCCATGGAGCTTACCTTCTAGTAAGGGAAACAAATAAAATGGGTCAAGTGGTGCTAAGTGTTATTGAAAGAATAAAGTAGCATAAATGGCTAGAATGGGACTATGAGGGAGGTGAGCAGGGACTGCCATCTTAACTACTGAGCTCAGACAAGATCTCTCTAAGACCATAACCTTTAAACAAACCTACAAGAGGTAAGAATGAACATTAGGGTTACTGAAGAATACTTAAATGGAACAGAGTATCTATACTGATTCATTTTAATCTGGTAGTATTATCAAGACTTGTTTGAGTTAATAAAATCTCAAAAAATTTAGTGTCAAAATGTATCAACTTGTTCCAGAAGCTGTTTAAGCTTTATTTAAAATGGACATAATGATAAGAGCTATTTCAAAGGGATGTTGTGATAATGAATTAAAGGATAAATATAAGATGCCAGGGCCAAGCACTGGCAATCACTCAATACATGATGGGGTTTATTAGGACAATTATTATAATGGACACTCAGTAACTGGCAGTCATGGTTTAAAATTTTTAAACCCTAACTCCCTTTATATATATAGAATATAACTGAACAAGTTGTATTGTTTATTCTGATAAAATCTTCCTTACCTGTTGGAAGGAATCTTCGAACAGTGTCTGCCGGGACACATTGATCTTTACGTGACTGGGTAGTGCATTAGACTAAAAACAAAAATAACGTCATGATATCATGTAAGCTGTAGTATATATATAGTATAAAGATAAGACTAAATTATTATGAATATAAGATTTATTTACCACTGTAGTACCTGGCACAAATAACGGAAGTGAGCAAGTTTCCATCTAAAGCTGCGTTCATAAGCAATCTGTGGACCACCTTTAGTTCTGAAGAAAAAAAAAAAGAAACCAAATATTAATTCAAAATAAAATTAGATATATAATATTAAGTATGAAAATGGAGTATACCAGAGTCCTACAAATGACCACAGGAAAGTTATTTGCTAGGAAAGAAGATACATTTAATGGGCCAAGAGGCTTGAGCAATAAGAACACACATACAGTGAGAAGTATGTATGGATGGGTCTTTTGTAAAGATGTAAAGAAGATTCTGGACACATTCTGAAGTTGAGGTAGGTCGAAATGTATTGTGCCAAATGCTCCTAAATCAAGTGAGACAGAACAGCAACCAACCCCTGGATTAACCATTAGCAATGTGGAGGTCAGTGGTGCCCTTAACAAGTTCAGGGTTAGTGGAACTTCCTTGTGGTCTGTTTGAAAGAGAAATTAGAAACAGCAATGTACAGACAATGCTTTCAGGGCAGCAATAGAAATGAGTTTTCACTGAATTAATTTGAAAAATGAAAAGCTGTGTTTTGCTTATTTTTCATCTAGGAGAAATAGCAGCTGATGAGAATCATTCAATAGAGGAAGAGAACCTGATGATGGAGTACAGAAAGATGATAATTGTTGGGGCAATTAAATGGGAAAGGGAGGGAAAGATCTGGAGTGCCAGCAAAGGGATGGGCCTTTGATAGGAACAAAGATAGTTCATCTATAGGATCAAGAGGGAAGACATGCTGGTAGGTGGGCAGGTGTGACAGTAGGAATTTGCAACAAAACAAAACCAAAAACCCCTTTTATTGTTGCTTCTATCTTCTAAGTGATGCAAAGAAATCACACCTAAGAATGAGGATGAAGGTGAATCTAAGATATTTTTAAGATATTTAAGATATTTTAAAGGATATTTTTATCTGGAAAATTCAGATTTGTTGACTTCTCATTCCTTCACACTACAGTAGCATGATGTGGCAGTTATGAACACAATACTCTGTGAATAGACTGCCTTGGTCTGAAATCAGCTCCATTCCTTTCTGTCTGATTTTGAACAAGTTAGTTATGCTCCCTAAACCTCAGTTTCTGCACTGAAAAAGGGAAAATAGTATTATCAACCTCAAAGGGTTGTTGAGAAATAAAATGAGCTAGTTTCTACAAGTGCTTAGAGCAATCCTCTGCATACAGCAATCACTAGATAAATATCTGCTATTGTTATTATTACCACATTATGCACTACAAATTCATTCTGTAGTAACGTAAAGCAAAGATAGGTATACTGGGCTATTACTTACATAGGTTTTCTTGATCCACAAAGTACAAATCTGTTGCTAAACTTGAGGCTACCTCATTAAACATTTAAGAATTTCAGGTTTTTCACTTACACGGATGATTTTCCATTGCGAGGATCTTTGAATGTTGTTGTTCTTGTATTATGATCAACAAAGTACCTAACACCTTCCCGAGTATACCTAATTTCCCAGCCTTCTGGCAGGGGTTCTTCATTCTGTAAGCTAAAAGACAAAGTTACAATCACAAGGTGAACATTTTCTATGCACTAAAGACATCTGAATCAAGGTTTATTTGATTCTACGTATAAATATATGTAAGATGACTTAAATAAAGCCTTAGTACACACATACCCTTGAGTTCTTGGATCTTCCCACTGGGTTGTTTTTGTGTTATGATTCACAAAGTAAACCCTGTCGGTTGAATCCACTCTTTTTTCTAAAAAAATAAAGTGAGCATAGCATTTAATGACTATTTACTATCTATACCTTCATATATTTTTACCATCAACATATCAGCTTACCCCAGCCTGGTGGCAAAGGCCCGTATGGGTCATTTTCTGCAGCTAACATTGAAGCCTGATTGGAGAAAGGATTGGAAGGAAAAAAAATACTTTAATATAAAAGCAGAGGTAAACTAATAAACACTTGGTAGAACATTTTTATACCAATTTTCTAAAAAATATGATAAAGGAATGTGAATATAGTCATTTCAAGATACAAAGTACATTTTAAAATGTCATGAGTTAAAAGGAGTCACTCAGTTGATAAGATCATTAGTTTTTCTAAGATGATTTAGAAATAATGACATCAATATTTTAATTGCTTAGCCCTTCTATAATAATCTATTAGGAGTAAACAGAGAGTAGAGCTACAGAAAACTGTGTTTAAATGAAAAATATTGTTTGTTTAAAAGTGCAACAAATTCTCTTTAAAACAAATGCCCATTAATAAAAACAAACCAACATTAAAATCCAGTATCATCTTTATACAAATAAATTTTTATCTTAATATTAATATCTTTTATATATTCATACATAAAGTCATTCAGGCTTAGATATATTATAACCCAGAAATATAGTCAAAAGAAAATGTAAATATAAAAATCATCACCTGAAAAATTAAAGCTTAATGAAAAAGGATATGCATCTTGATAAATATTTTATAACCTTACAACAGATACTGTTAATTTTACCCAATATCCATTTCCCACACTTCCTTCTTGGCACTCAAACCACTGTTTTGTTCCAGGAAGCAATGTGTCCATCTAATAATTCCATTCCCAGCCTTCCTCACAGCTGGGTTGGTATAATGACCAGTTCTAACCAGTGAGTAATGGCACAAGTCCCTGGTAAGGGCATCCCTTTCTGAGTAAAAAGGCAGGGCTTGCAAGGGCTTCTCACTCCTCTTTCCCTTTCTTCTTGCCTACACTGGGTAATGAAGCCCAAAGGACAGCAAATCTTATGACTGAAGTAAGAAGGATGAAGCATGGTAATGATGCACAAAGAATTGCCAGGTGGCATTACTGAGCCAATGTAACTGTTAGCCCTGGGCTTTTACCCCAGACTTGTGCTATACTTAGATAATTACACCTCAACCTATTTAAGGATGTCCTATACAGGAGAACACACTTTTTTTTTTTTAAGATTTATTTATTTATTCATGAGAGACACAGAGAGAGAGGCAGAGACACAGGCAGAGGGAGAGGCAGGCTCCATGCAGGAAGCCCGATGTGGGACTCGATCCCGGGTCTCCAGGATCACGCCCTGAGCCAAAGGCAGATCCTCAACCACTAAGCCACCCAGGCATCTCGGAGAACACACTTCTAATATATCCCTATGACCTAATTCTTGACCCAAAGTTTTCATGTATACAGCTAAGTTGGTCAGATTTTCAGATTGCATTAGATTTTTTGGACAAAACTATCTCTAATCCCAGGAATACCTCTGGTAGGCCAAACATATGAAAGTGTTGATGGGAATCAGAATAGCTGGAAAATGGCAAGACTGGTCTTAAGTAAAATAACTGATTTAAAGCAAAAAATGATTATTATTAAAGGCAAAGGACTGGGGACTAGCAAAGACAAATTATTTTAGAAATTACTTATGAAACTAGCACTTAATAAAGACAAAAACTATACTTCTGTTAGTAAACTAGAATTTAAAAAACTTAGAAGTGTGTATGTATATCAGAAATACTTATTATTTATTAAAGAGAAAATAAAAAATACCTTGCAATGTAGTCTATAACGTTTAAAAATCACCAAAGTAGAAAAGAGAAAATGCCTGGAGGAAAGAGTTGTACTGACATCTTAAAATCTGCTATTACCGAATAGAGGTATCGCTGGTTGAACTGTTGCATAGCTCCCTGCAGCTGATTCCGCTGAGACTGCCATTGCTCAAAGTTTCTAACAGACTCCATGGTAGGCCGCTGCCAGGTCGTTGTTCTGGTGTTATGATCCACATAATAAACTCTGCCACGATCATCAACTCTTCTTTCCCAACTACCACAAACAAAATAAGCATTAATAAACATTAAACAAGAATGTCTTAATATTAGAAACTGGCAAGTACTGAGTTAACAGTTCACTCATATAACTTAAAAAGTGAGACATGACAACATAATTTTAAATACTGACATTCTTCAGAAAAATTCTGAACATGTAACTTGCTTTTTTTTTTTTAGCTAAATTGCCTTCCCATTCTACTATTACATGATTTCTAAGAACTGTCCAAAAAAGGAGCCTAAGACAGAACAATCTTAGTATCAATCTGCCCTCTCTCTTTTTCTTGTTAAGAAGTTACTGCATGCTTACTGGATAGCTAGCAATCTCGCCCCTTTAGCCACTGCCTAAATTCAGGGCTGTAACTCAACCCTTACAGGTCTTTAACATTCCTGCTGTTATGTGGCTGCTGCACACAAGCACAGGTTCAACCGTGTCATTCTACCTAGCACAGCTCTCCAGCACAGCATAAAAATGAACCCATTCACTATTTCAGTCTCATCTCCCCTAAGATCTTTCAAGGGACCCACATAAGAGCCAAATCAACTACCTGCTGGGCCCAAATATATCATATTTCATGTTGTCATCTCTTTGAATATTCCCTTAAGACAAAATTCCCTTCCTTATTTTGCCATCAACTGGAGTTCTCCCCATTCTCCCAGGTTCAGTTAACCAACCTTAAGTCAATTTGTGCTATTAACTTATATAGCTTGTTTGAGAAACGAGACAAGCCTAGGGTTCTCCTACCCTGCCCCCATCTCAGCTCCCTTGCCAACACTTCTTCTCTGTGCCATTAAACCATACAATGATTTAAAAATCCTTTCAGCAACACATCTCAGAAAAATAACATTTCTTGTTTTGAATTTTCTGGACTTTGTGTTTTATATTGGTGGACTTTAACTTACATTTGGAAGGACATATATTCTGAGTAGCAAAGACAATAAGGAAAATATTTCAGGCACAGACACTATTTGAGGAGAATATAAGTAATTCCACTAGCTATCAGCACAATATATAAAAAAAAAGTTATGAAATATAAGAACACAAAGGAAAAGGATCTGTTTGTGAATTTTTGTGAAAGACAGCCTAACAGAATGAATTTATTTAGCATGTAATAGAAATCTTTTTGTGCATTTAAGACCCTCTATCATTTTAGCCATAATGTAATAATACAATTTCACTTGTAGTAATCTTTTAGGTCGTAACTTTGAACTACTCTAACATCTCTTATGTCAATAAATCTCATGAAATAACAAAGCTTAGATCACTATCTTTGGAGAACCATACACATACATTTTTCTCAATAGGCCTTTCATTCCTTAAAAAATAATGACAAGCACTAAATTTGGACCAAAATTCTACAATTACTCTCAGTAACTCATGCCAGTGCTTGACAATCTCTTGAGGAAGCCACTTCAGACTAACTGTAGAAGAGATACGATATAACAAATCTCCTTTACTGAAGTTGCCATTCACAAAAGTAAAGGAAGGAAATATAACATGCACAATGAAAGAATCGTGTTATGTTTTAATAACTAAATTTCAGAAATCACATGTATAATAAAACACAACTGGAGATGCATAAAGATGCCACATTACCCTGGAGGTAAAGGTTGAGGCCTCTCCCATGTAGTCGTTCGAGTGTTATGATCCACATAATAAGTTCTACCATGAGGATCTTTTCTCTGTTCCCACCTTTAATAAAAATGCAAATACAAAAGTAGAAGATAATAAACTAAGACAATTTGAAAAAATCATTCCATCTTAGAATCAGGAAAATTACCGGTTTTTACTTCAAAAGGTTATATATACACACACACATATAAAAGTTTCTTTTCCCAATTATCAGTGTCTTTTAAGTTCTTAATTATCCATTTTTTTTATTAACAGTTTTGGAAACTCAGTAAATACAGTTAGCAAATGAGTATAAAGTAAAAATAAGTCTGCTTCTCCCTCTTTCTCTGCCCGCCCCCCGCCCCCCGCTGGTGTGCTCTCTAATAAATAATATTTTAAAAAAATGAAAAACACAAATTTAACCAAAAGTAGAGGAAATTTCAGCCTAATATCACACTCAATGTTAATGAGGTAATATTCACTTTTGCCTGCAATTTCAAAAATATATCTCTAAAAGATTTTTAGAAAAAAAAAAGATTTTTAGCTGAAACTGCATTAAAGAAATAAGTGGGGACACTGCTCCAAAAAATTTCTTCTATATGCAAACAGTGTCTTTTTGAATATAACTATCTTCCTCTTGCTTCTGGTAAAACTCCTGAGTTTATGGGCATCCCAATTTCATCTTTTTTCTGTTCTAAAAGACTCTCAACTTCTTATTTTCCCTACTCTTGTTTTCTCCTCTGTGACTCCTGTTTCTTCTTCTCCATTCTTTCCGTAATATGGTATAGAAAAAAATGATAAATATAAAATATAAAAACCTGATTATTTCTGATGTTAGCATTCTTGTTTTCAATTAAAAGTAGAATAAATGGAAGTATTTTTCTCCCTCTTAAATAAACTCAGGAACTCAATTTAATTTGATTCCTTTCGGATTAGAGAGGCCTTTAATTATTAAGCTCTTTTTTGTTTCTTAAGAGTTACTTTTTTGAGAGAGAGAGAGAGAGAGAGAGAAAAAGAATACCAAGCAGACTTCCTGCTGTGCATGGAGCCCAACATAGGGCTCAATCTCACCTGAGATCATGACCTGAGTGAAATCCAAGAGTTGGACACTCAACCAACTGGGTCACTCAGGCACCCCTAAATTTTCTTACACGATGATTACACATATTAAGGCTATTGGCTAAGCAAGGTACACACATACTTTTAAAAGACGTGCAAAAAAAATTAATAGTTTGCTTAAGCTGCATCCAATAAATATAAGTCACAAAATGCCTCAATAATAGCTATGAACAAAAGTGCTGAAGTTCACAACTGACTCAGGATCATGTAAGTTCTTAAACTTATCTATTAAAAAATTACTATCGCTCTCTTCCCTTCTGTGGCCATTGCTGAAGCACCGGCAGTCAAAATGAAATTCAAACCCTTTGTGACTTTTGATTAGAGCAAGAACTAAACAAGACATTTTTTCTCTTTTTTTTCAAACAAGACATTCCAATGCACCTTCCCACATTTGGAAGAAGATTATGTCTTCCTCTCTTTCCAAAGAGCTGAGACAGAAGTACAATGACTGATCCATGCCCAACCAAAAGGATGATGAAGTAGAGGTTGTGCGAGGACACTATAAAGGCCTGCAAGCTAGCAAAGTAGTCCAGGTGTACAGGAAGAAATATGTCATCTACACTGAACAAGTATAGTGAGTGGTACAGTGAGTGAAGGTGAATGGCACAACTGTCTATGTGGGCATTCACCCTAGCAAAGTGGTTATCACTAGACTAAAACTGGACAAAGACTGCAAAGAGATCCTTGAACAAAGCTAAAGCTCACCAAGTTCGGAAAGACAAAGGGCAAGTAGAAGGAAGAAACAAGTGAAAAGATGCAGCAATAAAATAATCATATATGACTTCATTAAATAAAAAACTGTTAAACTGAAAAACAAAATAAAACAAAACACTGTTGTTTAAAATCTTACACTGCAACAGCCATGCTACCCTGCACTACAAAAATTTAGGTATTTTTTTTTTTACAAAAAAGCATTTCAGATTTTCAGATTTTATTTGCTTTTATTTTATTGCTTTTATTTTTTTTATAATAAAAAAACCCTGAATTCATCTTTTTCTGTTCTATCTCAAAGACTTTCAACCTCTTATTTTCCCTACTGTTTTCTCATATTTGCTTTTACATAATAAAAGTTCATGGGAAGGCAGGATTCAAATATGAAATTTTATTTTTAAAACATTTCAGGAATATTTGCAATACATATCAATCACCAATTGATATGTATGAAAGCTCAACAGCCCAAAACAAATATCTTCAAAATGTATGAAGTTTCAAGAACCTCCTGATAATGGTATTTATGCTATTTTTAGGTATTCCTGTAATCAGTCCTCGGATTTTTGTTGCAATTCTGCAGCAGAATTTCCAGGTTTCCATCCTTTCTTTACAAATACTCTTTACCATGTTTAATTTAGGTTTAATTTTTATCAAAGTTATATACATTTTCACATAGTTTTATACCTACCTAGTTATATAGTTATACATATCTTCATACATACAGACTACGGGGCTCACTATAAAAAACAATGCCTGCTGTCCCCTTACTTCATTTTCCTTTCCACAAAGGCAACACTTTCAACTGTTTTAGCCAATTTTTTTAGTATTTATCTGTTTTCATATTAATAAGCTTACTTTATTTTATATTTGATTTCAAATATATATTGATTTCTCACTGTGAAAGGTGAAGCTGTTAGTCTCCGTCTTGCAAACATATATATGCATATACACTCTGTTAACACTCACCCTCTGTTGACCATTCCAAACACACACATATATTCCATGTCTTTCCCTTATAAAACCCTCCTGACAACTGAGTCATGGAACCTAACATGTCTTTTGTCTCCTTTCTTCCCATTTCCTTATTTTCTATGTATTTCTTAAACTCCAAATACTTTTCTAGCTGCATAAATGTTCTCTCAAACTATTCAGAGTCATCAGGTATTTATTAATCACAGTTGTCTCCCAATGAGCTGCTGGTCTTGCCAGGCCAACTGGGAAGCCCACAATGCCTGCCATTTTGGCCTTCCTTTCACCACCATCCTCCTGGTGATTCCTTTCATTCCCTTTCCATCAAGACACCTAAGATCTGGAGCCTGTGTCTTTCACATTCAGTAGCTAATTTTAGAGAAAGATGAGTCCTGGTAGCTTCCTAAGAAAGAATACATGGGAAACAAACTTTGAAAACCAAGGATGTCTGAAAATATATTTATTCTATGCACACACTCTACAGTGTGGCTGATTACAGAAATCTAGATTGTGTTTAATTTCCCTCAACTTTGAGTTGGCCTAATAACTTCTTGTGCTGATTCTGAGAACTCTAATACTATTCTGATAAGTATGAGATCTGCTTTAATTCTCTTTTAAAAATCTTTGGGAATGTTTAAAAATTTTTTTTTTTTGGCCCCAACATACCTAAAATTTTCACAACACGGCATCTTAAAACAGATTCATTTTCACTCATTATCCTGAGTTTTGCTCAGCCCCCCACCCCCGCTTCTTAAAAAGATTTATTTATTCATAAGAGACACAGAGAGAGAAAGAGAGAGAGAGAGAGTCAGAGACATAGGCAGAGGGAGAAGCAGGCTCTCCACAGGGAGTCTGATGCGGGACTTGATCCCAGGACCCCAGGATCACACCCTGAGTCAAAGGCAGACGCTCAACCACTGAGCGACCCAGGTGTCATTGCTGAGCCCCTTTAATAAGAAAATCCATATCCTTCCCTCATGTTTGAGTTTTTATTAAGGATGTCCTCCCACTTTCTCTTTTTCTGGAACTTTTCTCATCAGACCCTTTGAACTAATACTCTACATTTTCTATTTTATTTCTTTTATAAATCTTTTTGTTCAATTTTCTGGGTAATTTCTTTACTTTTATGAGCCAAAATTTCCACTGAATTAGATTTCTAAGAGCTCTTGGTTCTCTGAGTACTCTGTATTTACAACATCTCTTTCGTTTTTTTTTCAATAATAAATTTATTTTTTATTGGTGTTCAATTTGCCAACATACAGAATAACACCCAGTGCTCATCCCGTCAAGTGCCCCCTTCAGTGCCCATCACCCATTCACCCCCACCCCCCACCCTCCTCCCCTTCCACCACCCCTAGTTCGTTTCCCAGAGTTAGGAGTCTTTATGTTCTGTCTCCCTTTCTGATATTTCCCACCCATTTCTTCTCCCTTCCCTTCTATTCCCTTTCACTATTATTTATATTCCCCAAATGAATGAGACCATATAATGTTTGTCCTTCTCCAACTGACTTACTTCACTCAGCATAATGCCCTCCAGTTCCATCCACATTGAAGCAAATGGTGGGTATTTGTCATTTCTAATGGCTGAGTAATATTCCATTGTATACATAAACCACATCTTCGTTATCCATTCATCTTTCGATGGACACCGAGGCTCCTTCCACAGTTTGGCTATTGTGGACATTGCTGCTAGAAACATCGGGGTGCAGGTGCCCGGCGTTTCATTGCATCTGAATCTTTGGGGTAAATCCCCAACAGTGCAATTGCTGGGTCGTAGGGCAGGTCTATTTTTAACTCTTTGAGGAACCTCCACACAGATTTCCAGAGTGGCTGCACCAGTTCACATTCCCACCAACAGTGTAAGAGGGTTCCGTTTTCTCCACATCCTCTCCAACATTTGTGGTTTCCTGCCTTGTTAATTTTCCCCATTCTCACTGGTGTGAGGTGGGATCTCATTGTGGTTTTGATTTGTATTTCCCTGATGGCAAGTGATGCAGAGCATTTTCTCATGTGCTTGTTGGCCATGTCTATGTCTTCCTCTGTGAGATTTCTATTCATGTCTTTTGCCCATTTCATGATTGGATTGTTTGTTTCTTTGCTGTTGAGTTTAATATGTTCTTTATACATCTTGGAAACTAGCCCTTTATCTGATAGGTCATTTGCAAATATCTTCTCCCATTCTGTAGGTTGTCTTTTAGTTTTGTGGACTGTATCCTTTGCTGTGCAAAAGCTTCTTATCTTGATGAAGTCCCAATAGTTCATTTTTGCTTTTGTTTCTTTTG